ATATATATATATATATGCGGGCTCCATGGGTTTACCGCAAGCTGTATGCACATTCGTAGGAGTTGAGGGCTTACAGGCGAACAGAGTCCAAGCTTTGGGATCACCAAGGCTTGATAGGTCGAGCTGTTACTTACGACTCTGTCAGACCCTAAACCCTAAACCCNNAACCCCTAAATCCTAAACCCTTAAAGAGGCCTGTGAGGCCAGAGGCCGAAACCCACAAGCACCACTGTGCTGCGAGTTGATTTCTGAGCTGGCCTCGAACTAGATCCCCCAAATCCTCAGCGAAGCAGTCGCCACAAGCAACGTTAGCTTTTCGGTCGCATCGCAGTGCACTGAGTCTAACCACTTACTTTAAGTTCTTGCCGTTGTGCTTCAACCTCGCTAGGCCCCATGTCCTCGTCCACAATCATCGCCTGCGAACGAGTTGCTTCCAAGACATGGGGATGTCTGAAACAGACGAGCCTACAGCGCTCACTCGTCCTTTTGTCTCACTCCTGCATCGAACCCAAAATCCTTTAGGCCAGACGGTGAAATTTCGACTCGAAGCCGTCTCAAGCCTTTTCTATCATTTCCTCGGCTGTCGAAACTCCACACGCTGAAGTCTCAGTCCCTGAACTTCCAGCCCTTTGAGCGAGTTCGGCGATGTAGGAGCTCTACTTGGTCCGCGACACCCAAGCCCTACAAACCCTATTGCTCCACCTGATGCCTTCATCCCGGGAAACCCCACTGTACCCGAAAGCAAAAGCCAGTCCAAAATGCTTGAGATTGCCTCTGCTGCTCGCTCCACACCGACGCCGCGCTTCGACTTCTTCTTCGACTGCAGCGGAGAAAAAAGCGGAGGACTGCAGATTCACAGCCACAATCTCCAGATGTACGCCACGATCCAGTCACTCTAGTGACATTTCTGCTGCTTCGGCATGCTTCGGCGGGGAACTCTGCGACTTGACCTGCTAGTGTTGGAAACTCGGGGCCTCGTACACCCGAAACCCCTTGTAAGTCTCAAGATGCGTCCTTGCTCTTCTTTCCTCCGGCGATGAAGTAGTAGGCGACCCCACCAATGCCAAGGGCGGCCACGGCAGCCCCTTTGCTGGGTGTTCAGGAAGCTGGGCCCGAAGTAGGAATCCACCATGAGGCACCAACTAGCTTCTGGAAAGCACAAGTTCTGCGCCACCGTTCATAAAGCCACAAAATCTCTTTGCACTTGTCAGTTTGCAACGGCATGTATGCAAGGAGTCTGTTTAATGCGACAGTATCGACAGCAGGGCTTTGAAAGCGGCCTTTCCGTTTCTAGACAGTAAAGGCTCAAGCGATGTATGATGGTCGCCACGGCTTCTCAAGCCCACAGAAACACAGTCTAAACCTGCACAGCAACGAATCAATAAAGTATCACACAGCCAAAATCCGAGATCCGACGAAGACCTATAAGATGACCTGTGCTCTCAAGCTACCAAATGATTGAACCGATGCGGACCAACATGGCGCATGCCTCATCCCTGAATCTGCCCATCGCCGGAGATAGGGTTCTAGTTTGCTGGTACGGAAATCGCAGTAGTAATAGTAATAGTACTGGTAATANNATAATAACAATACTAGTAATAGTAATGGAATCCATCCCGACTGTGGCCCCAACCGGCCAGGGCATTGGTCATCATGTTGCTGCCACCGGTGGCTGTGGCAGGAGCTGCGCCCAAGGTCTGCAAACACAGGATTTGATTTCTGGCATGTCGGAATGAAGGTCCTGTTCATCGGGTGTGGGCTACCCTGTACTCGGCTGCAACAACCACGAAGGGAACATGTGTGCTAATTATGTTCGGCGGCCATATCTTAAAGTCGAACTCCTCCGAAGACAGGAACGTCAAGCAGAGGTCTTTACACTTTACACCGCCGCGAAAGCGTGAGGCACCTCTGCGATTTCTGTATAGACTAGAGCACTGTAACAATGACACTCATGATACCAGATTCTACACAAAACGACGACAACGACAGCAGCTGCCACCATCAGTGCGAGAAGCAAGCTTTGATATCTCGGGAGGTGCAGCTTGGTGTTGCGGCTTGGGCTTGAGACTCAAATGCGATGAAGACCTGCTAGAAGCCATACACATGCTTAAACTGCCAAGTTTTTGCTCGCTCCACAAACCACCTTTAACTTTTCAGTGGGTCTAATACCGCTTCTGACTGCATGCGTATGTGCGAAATGTCTCCAGAAAGGACATGCGCCAGTATCCGACCTAGCAAGTATCTGCAGAAAGGACATGACAGTATCTAAGCTAACAGCGACAGCTGAAGGCATGCCTTCCGAGACCCCCAGAGGCTTATTTGCAATCAAGGGCAGCATTTAAAGGCCCCCTAAAGCCGCTAAGCTTTAAACCGGCCCTTTGGACCTCATGATCATCTCCGCCCTTGGCAAGCCAACTTTGGGGTGAGTGAGGTGCAGGCCTGGACGTTGGCGTCCTTGTACGCTCACAACTCCACTTTAAGCTCTGGGGACTCGGGCTGCAAGAACAACCACTCGGGCCGGAAGATGGCAAGCTCGCTTCTGTCATTTTGCGACTCACAGGGATAATGACGGTGTTCGGGGTCTTCTACGTATGACTATAGTGTGTACCGGCATTCAACTCTGAAGCCGCTGCAGTGGTAGTCGTCGCAGAAGGTGGCGGGCGCAGCAGTAGTAGTAGT